TTAAACATACTTTATCATACTGCAAAAAATTGATATAGAGATGAAAACTTTTCAACCTCTCAACAACTAAGATACTTCAATTTTAGCTATGTATAGCTTATTATAACAAACATGCAGAAGGTAGCTCTTACAAGCAGCTGCTAATTTAACTAATTGCAGCAGCTTTGTAAAGCTTTTGAATGTCAGTACTGCATGCAACAGTGAGTACCACAGCATGCATGTTTCTTCACCAACTAATCAATGCCAACTAACATTTAGGTAAAGCAGCAGAAGATTCATGATAGCCTATACTAAAGGTGCATTGTTCCTATATCTATTGTGCAAGAAGTTGGACATCAAGCCATGTTTCTACTTTCTGACCATCTGAAATATGTGAAGTATGTAAGTTTTGTCACTTGACTAATATATAAAGACCTTTCCAAAACCTGCTAGCAATTATTGTTAACTGGCAATTAATTCATGTGATGAACGCTGTACATATCAATTACGAGAGATAACTTGAACTTTTATGTTTTATTTTTCTATTTCTCCTATGCGAATTGCTCCATTTTTTGAATGTAGCTCTCGTATTTTAAATGTATTGAAGGAAAATTATTACACTGTGTCAGGTTGACTTAGTGTTGGTTCGAGTCCAGCACACAGATTAAATATCCTTCAAAATTAATATTAATATACATTTAAATATGATGATTGATGTACTTAATAGACTTTTCAACTACGGCACAGACCGCTCTCGTAGACAATCAGATCGCAGAAAAGCGAAATATGATTTTGGACGGATAGAAAAAAATAAGGGTAGTTATTCAATTTAAAAAGTTACGGCTGACCTCTTTAATAGACTTTATATTTTTTTCTACTCTGTAGAAGATAATACACATGTCTTTGAAGATACTCATTTCCCTCGCTATCAAGCTTAAAAACTTTATTACACAAGTCAACTAAATATAGTTTGAGTCGTAACAATCTACAGGTATAGGGCCCGATCCTTTTCCATCTCCACCGGAGATACGCTGTTAAACAATCCTTCACTCCGCCACTTACCAAACTCTGTCAAAACCACATCAGCCAAAGACTTTTTTGATATATAACACGAATGAAAAAGGGAGTGAACAGTCCAATGTGTGTTTATGAGTTTCTAAAAATGTTGGTTTTGCTTCTTGTGTAAAGGCTGCTTCAAGATTGGTTAGTTTTTTCATAAAGTCCCAATGAAACATATTATACCTGTAACTAAACTCAGGGACAACGCAAAGCCTGTACTATATGGCATATATTAATAACCATGATTCTAATCAAAAGACGAAAAGTGCGTCATATCTATATTTCAGTTTGTATATAAATCGAGGGGTTGTGAGGTTGAAGCTAACAATTTATTGAAGCTAAGAATTGATGATTCTCATAAACGTCAAACGCGAAATGACTGATTTTACCCGGAAATTGATTGGCTTGTTCGTTTTGTGGAGACGATAAATCTTTATGTAAAGCCTCTTTTCCATTAGCCCGGCGTATTTTTCGAATTTATTCCTGTGCAACAGAAGTGAAATTTCGCTTTGCGCGTAAATATGTGTAAGATTTAATGCAAATAAAGTAAATTACGTTAGTACAAAAAACATCACTTGCAAAAGAAAAAATCCAGTAGAGACGTTCTAGAAGCGGGTAAACAAGAAGCCATTATAAAGACTATCACTTACTATTCCAAACTGTCTACTTAGTGGCGTAGTGCACGTTAGGTAGGGTTAGTTGAAGAACTAAAGGCCCCAACAGTAAGGGGGCCCTTCATGCAGCCACATGCACTAAAGAAAGTCAGGACGCGGTATATGCGACTGAAAGAATGTAAATGTTATAAATGTATATGGCGTTTTTTATCTTTTCTGAAAGCAAATGTATCCGCTATAACGGAAAAATTCCCGGCTTCAGCAATCAGCATTCCAGTGAACCCATACACGGTAGCAGTCAACGCTCCCATCTCCTTGCTCCAATATGTCTTGGGGCCTCGCAGTCATTCGCTATGCCACCGCGTCTACTCCGTAATTCTAAAGATTCCTGCAACAAATTAGGTTCCTCGGCTATTCATTCTGATCCGGTAAACAAAGGCACAAACAGTTTTCTTCAAGATGCAGTCAGCGAAGTCAAAGAATGGTCTACGGCTAACAGATTAATTCTCAACGCTGAGAAATACATCAGTTTACAAAAATTAAGAATTTAACCTTATTGATTGTGTGCATATGACTCAGGTTTGAAATGATTATTGGGATGATGCTGGTCTGAGATTGCCAACCGGGTAAGCTAAAAAATTAACTTTAAAACGGCGGGAATCAAACCTGAGACCTAGTTTCTTCACCAACTAATCAATGCGAACTAACATTTAGGTGAAGCAGCAGAAGATTCATGATAGCCTATACTAAAGGTGCATTGTTCCTATATCTATTGTGCCAGAAGTTGGACATCAAGCCATGTTTCTACTTTCTGACCATCTGAAATATGTGAAGTATGTAAGTTTTGTCACTTGACTAATATATAAAGACCTCTCCAAAACCTGCTAGCAATTATTGTTAACTGGGAATTAATTCATGTGATGAACGCTGTAGATATCAATTACAAGAGATGACTTGAACTTTTCTGTTCTATTTTTCTATTTCTCTTATGTGAATTGCTCCATTTTTTGAATGTTCTTGTCGTATTTTAAATGTATTGAAGGAAAATTGATACACTGTGTCAGGTTGACTTAGTGTTGGTTCGAGTCCAGCACACAGTTTAAATATCCCTTCAAATATGCATTTAAATATGACGTATTAGAGTTTGGTAATAACAGCAATCAAGACTAAGCTCAAGAATGACGCAAAGGGTTTAACTATTTCAATATATGCATGATTATCAAAACTGAAAGTCAGTGTCTAATTAATATAACGCTGATTCCAATTGGATGACCGTTGGCAAATGAATGAAGATGCAAATAGCTGATCTCATGCATTTACAAGATGAAAAAATTGATCTGCTTTGGCTATGTCTTTTCTCCACTTGTCGTCGTCCATATATGTCAGACCAGCCCATGGCCGAATGCAACCGGTGTAACAAATGGTTTCACAAGACATTTGAAAACATACCAGAGGAAGTATTTTAAGATGAGTTGAATTCTAATTTTCCACATGGAGAACACGATGAATCCAGTATACTGTCTATTTAATGAAACTCTAAAATAACATTAAATTATTTAGAAACTCAAGTAGCATATTAAAAAATATTTCAGAACAAAAATGTAATACGTGTGTACTGTGTAAGTCAATGATTGTATATATTTTTTTAAAAAACAAGAAATTTTAATATAATATTGAATGTTGACTTTCTCTCTAAAGAGTTTCTTAAGCATTTTACATACCGTGGCTAAAAATACATTGTAGATTGTAACACATGTACAATACAATACATATTAAAAATAATTACAATAATATATTTATCTAGTATTCTTACAAGCACGTCCTGCAACATTCGCATCGCATTCTTTGAAGTCAATCAAGATTCATGTAACACAAATCACTATGCCGGCTATACTTCGATTGCTTCCGGGACAAAACTAACGCGATAATTACGGAGGGATGTGATTATTCATATTTCAGTTTAATCAGTTGTAGCGGCGGATTTCTTTTTAAATTGCATACACGTCCAAAAGCAATCGGTCGGAAAGAACGAATATATCAATATCAGTGAACTCAAATAAGACTGGAACGGTCACTTTCTGACTTTCCCTCATTAATGAGTGAAGATGGCGGAGCCATGAAGCCTCTCTTGTAGGTATAAATATGATTCAGGCCTCGGGCACGGAAACTTCAAAGGTAAAATAACAATTCGCGCCATTTCACCTACGAAAGTTCCGCGTGGAGGCCTGGATCACATCTACAAGTTTTTACAAGAAAGGCTTCAGTGTCCGCTATCTTGGCTTGAAACTTTCGACAGAGTGAGGGTTCCAGTCTTATTTGAGTTCACTGATCAATATACCTCTTCCAATTACATCATCTAATTTCGGCCCAGGGGGACTGGTTTACAGAAAGTTTGATTTTGATTTGGGTTCGGTATATAATATACTAATTATATACCTTACACTCGAGGTATTCGCCCAAAAAATTACCTTTCAGGATGGAATGTTTCAGGGTCTATAACTAAAAGATATAAACTATTCAAACCTTTTTGACGTAGTAACTCATTTGGAGGAGCATATCCTGAAATGGCAGGATATTTTGACGCATTTAAACATTTCAAACTGTGACATGTGTGTTAGATTTCTGGGTAAAATTGAAAGAATCCCTTGGATGGCCTGATACAACGCTTGGGAATCTTGCTCGAATTCAAGAAAAGCTCGCAAAATCGCTTTCTTAACTCTCGCAACATTCCCGTGTGTTTGGATCAGGCCATATACAGGGTGTCCCAAAAAAAACGCAACCACTTAAATATGCAAGAATATTAATATTGTTCGGGTTTGCACCATAGTTCAGCTAAAATGACTTTTAGCATTGTAAATGAAGGATTAAGAGCCATTTTCAATTCCCAGAGGTGCTTATCTATTGCGCTTTAGAGCTGTATTAATGTTCTGCATATTTAAGTGGTTGCTTTTTTTTTGGGACACCCTGTATTCCAAACTCGCGGGGCCGTAGCTAGAAGCTTAATTGGGGGTATATTCATATATTCATGTTAATATACCGTAGGAACAATAGCGTACAAAGGAAATCAATCGGGCATACGACGAATATATGAGTATACACCCCCCCCCCCGCAATTAATACGGCCCTGCAAACACGGAAACCATAAAGTATTTGTTATACCATAAAGTATTCACAGGGTAGATACAAGAAATTACAACAGTCAGCGCTAATTGACGTTCTCAACAAGGCAGACGAAAGCCTAGCAAAGCCAAAGAAAATTATTAACCACAGACATAATCGCGTAATTACATACAAGGGATTACAAAAGGACGGTGGATGACATTACATGACAATGAATGGTGACAGAAGATAGAGCGTATAATAGTAATTGAAGATGGCACTAGGTGATGGCAGATGATGGTTGCCATCGCTAGGAGTGTCGATGTCGGAAGACCACACTAGATCATTGACAGTAGATTAATGTAGATGATGAACGCTGTAAATCACGGACGATGGCAATGGACAGCTTTATTTGTAAAAGTCCTGCATGTGGTAAAAGACTATAGATCCCCGTTGTCTCACAGAAAAAATGATGAGCATTTGTTATGCCGCAAAAAGAGTACTGCTTGCTTGCCAAATAGCGTATTTCGGTAACACTACAAAAGAGTAAGCCAAGATTGAAAATGGCCCTAACTGCTTGGATTAGTAGACAAGGGTCTTTTGTTTATTATTAGGGAGTTTATGATTCACCAAATCTACGACGCGGACGTGAATTAAAATTGCTCTATTTTCTACAGTTTTCCAACAGGAATGGAAATTATAGACGCTTTTTAATAAACAACGTCAGAGCCGTATGTAAAACAAATTAATACTGGTTTCCTAACACTAGTAGCAGTTTCAATGTCACGTCCGCGTCGTAGATTTGGCGCATCTTAAACTCGCTTAGTCAACTTGAATATTCTTTAAAAACATACGCCCTTTCGAGAATTACGTTACAAAATTACATTTTCAATTCAGAACCACCTTAAATGAGATGGGTTTTAGAGATTTTTAATGATTATTTTTAATTTTTACCAATGAATGTGGAATAGCTACAATTATCAAAAGGGACTATTAGAATAGCAAGCGAAATCAGTGATGACGTGTAATCGAAAAGAGTCAATCAAAATCCTTATATACAATATAGCGCGATTAACCGCCAATCACGCAACAGAACAAGCAAAAACCATGTATCAAGCAACCTTTGCATCGACTGAATTCTTGCATGCTTTCTAGCTTGGGGCATTCGACTGATATCTGTGCTGTTCAAGCAACACTGGAAGTTGAATCAACAAGAAAATTTTCTGAAAAAAAACTTTATCGAAACAGCACTCCATATATATGCTGCGTTTGTTTTGTGTGATTAAACACGCCTGGTACAAGTTCTTAACAGCTATACTATGTACAGTTTTTCTTTTAACTGTTTTCTGTTCGTCGTTTCAAACGAGGAGCACTTCAAAGCACTTCAAAGACAAAAACCAAAGCGAAGGCCAAGCAAGTTTTCCTGAGAAAGTAAGTTCTATCTTTCACAACTGGTTTGTTAATTAACCATGTCTTCCCAAAAGAGTGTATAACGTACATATATTTTATTAACGTACGAATATTTCGCTCACTTTGGTCAAACTCAAAGGTGAAAAATTACGGTGTATATCTTGCTGGCATGGTGCTCGCGGAACAGTACGTTGTTACCAAAATCCTGGTACTGCACTACAACAACCTTTGAAAATGTTAAATGGAGTTATTAGATCAACGAATTTCGTCTTAGTTTCTTTATATTTTTATGTTATCTTTATGTTCAGGAATTGAACATTTTAAGGCTTCAGAAGGGCCTTGACCAAAATGGCCGACCAAAAAGAAACAAGAAAAAGTCGTCGTATAAAGGTAAGTTAGCAGTTCACAATTCGTCGTACTGTATTTAGCCGTTTTTACATGTACATGAAGAAAGAAAAGTGTGTGTAACTATGCCAATAATATATTTAGAACATTTATTTGGATTTCTTTTCCGCAATTTTGGATAATCAAATCAAGTAGTAGTTAATACTGAAACAACAAAGTCAGAGTAATACAGTGTCTTTGCATCCATGACCAGGTGTATTAAATGTGCGCGTTTAGCGCAAATAATAAAATGTCCTTACAAATGGTCTATCAGGTTTGTGCCATTATTCAAAAGAACAATAACAAGTTGGAAAATGAATAAAATAAGACACGGATGGCAGAGTTACGATTTTCATTTCGGCTTTTCATACATTCGGACGGACCTATTTGCCCTTCACGATCGAATGACCTTGCTCCTTGCCGCGTACGACGATTTGCACCCAAGGTCAAAATGAAGGTGCAATATACTAAACGAAACGTGTTTATTCAAACACCGGGATCGTTTTATTTGTCTAAAATTTTTCATTTATACAATGGTTTGTATATGGTATACAATTTTTACTTATTTTATCTACAAGATTTTGAAATATTTCACGAGTATTTGCAGAATGTACTAAACAAAAAATTACGGCGCAACGCTAAACTATAAAATACAACATGTTGAACTTGCAGCTGATGTGGATGCTTGAAGTCAGTAGTGATAGCTAATCACCGATATTTAAGGGGTTGAATGGATTCTAAACAATTATCAAATAATGCAAGCCCTACTATCTTGTAATCAAATTATTTCGGTAAATTTGACTGCGATTGAAGACTTGTTAATACAATCAGGGGCAATATAAGATCAATTAAGGCTTAAGAAATCCAGTCCGAAATTTGAAAATTTCATTGTGCACAGTAAAAAATTATTAAGCTACAATCTAATTTTGAAATCTATCAACGCATATGTGAAGATTTTTGCTCTACATAGACAGCCTGGTGCATTTTTCTTGCAAAAGCACAGACACATATTGGTTTACAATGTGCATATGTGTAAATATTTCAAATGCACTAGCCTAATTACATGCTATATTATATTGAGTTTTGATTATAAACTAAAGTATGGTATGATTATGGTGAAACAGTCGATCAACATTTGCATCAACATTCAAGTGATGCATAATAAATCATCATGAAGAACCACAATAAGAAAAAGTTTAAAAAAATGACAAAATATATAACCAGCAAATGGGTGTTTACTATATCCCTGCTATTACTATACCCATGTTTTTATTAATTCCAATATCATGTGATATTTACCGTATTATATCACTTTTGCACCTTTATACTCATAATTCAGTGTTATGAACATATCCCAATCTGTAGTGATTTTGCTAAGGGAAAAAAAACATGTCAATTAAAAAACATCAATTAATTGCAAGGAGATGGTGCCCCTATTCCTGTAATTCACCATTCATTACCTAGATATGATGGATTCTTTTTGAACATTATAGCCTGAAAAGGTTTGGTTCAGTATCTCTAAACTAATACATACTGCAACTTCTCAGGCTTGCAGATTTCTTTATTAAATAGTCATAATAATAAGTATTCTAAGTAAAATCAGTTATTAATGTGAGGTGTTATAAACAGCTGCAAAAAGCAACAATACTATATGTATTCCTCAGGGCTGTGAACCACAATCGGCCCTGACATTTCCAAATACATGTTTACTTTTTATTGAGATATCTTACAATACAATTAAGTGCATATATAGATTTAATCAAATGATGCATAGTAGCATAGCTAGTGTAGTTTTTCATTCTCAAATCTAAGTTGTAAACTTAACTGCTGTAGATCGATTTATAAAGGGTTCTCTGTATATGTGTGAAAATCAGAAATAATTAAATTCAGCTATATCTTGATACTTTTATAGCTGGTACATATGTGTCCAATAGACATACTCGCTTCAAATTAAGCATTAACATTAGCCTGTAATATATCAATATGACACAGCTATTTCAATTTAAGGTTGATGTCTACCAATTGAAATATCAGCTGGTGCCCAATGAATAAATGGAGCATTAGGTTTCTTATGTTTAAATCAGGTTTAAAACACATTGAATTACATTGATTGCTTGATTAAAGACACAAATAATTAACTATAGTGTACTTCATACCCAAGAATAAAAATTTGATTAAACATCGGAAATCAATATAAAGATATTTGCAAATTTATTTTGCCCCACTATAATTGAATTCTTCTTTAATCAAGCCCAACTTTTCAGACAGATAATTCAGATAAATCAAATTACTATGAGATTGTAAAAAAAGACCACCAATTTTCATGCTATCAGTAAAACCTTGTCCAATAATGGGTATGCAATATTATACAGCCAAATATAAAAGATATATTTCACAATGATTGATTACCTTGGAGTCGATATCAGTGTTTCTCTTGTAAAGATATTGATCATGTTTAAGGCTCTCGCTTTCTAGGAACAAAGAGAAAAATTCGCTACCAAATGACAGTGAAGATCTGGAACAAAGATTTATTAACAACAACATTGGTATACTTCTTATATAATAAAGGACTTCAGGATGCAAGGCAGGGCCTTGCTAGGATAACTTATTATAAAGTTATGGGCTAATATTATGTTGCCACACAGCAAATGGCATGCATGCCACCACCCAAAAAGTTGGATTTTAAAACTTCAAATATGGTATAACTTAACACCTATACATTTGCCTGTGACAATTAGGCAAAACAATAACCACTGCTTGCCTAATTGGCATGTCATTTTACTGCCCCTTTTTGATGGAACAATTATTTGATGGCAAGTTATTTTGTTGAGGGCAACCAGTTTATACATGTCCAACTTGCCCTAGCTATTATATATTACCAGCAACTTGACTAGCAACTTAGTTTTTAAACTCATTTTCTTTCTCTTTCGGGGTTAGATCAACTTCATGTGCACCTACTTTGAGCGTTGCCTTTCTTTCATTGCCATGATTCATGGTATAAAATTACTAATCTAAGTGCACAAGCATTTTATCTGCCTATAGCCAGCTTGCATGATTTTATCAGCAAAAACCTTTCTTAATATGAAGGTTATGGTATCTTCACAAAGAGGGCATTCCAAAAAGGAGAATTCCTCCTTGAGTACAAGGGGGAATTAGTCACAAAAAAAGAAGGACAGAGAAGGGAAAAAGAATATGAAAAAAAACTTGGAAGTTTTTTGTTTTTTTGCGATTCTTTTTGGTAAGTAAAGAAAAATAGTATGAATGGCACTCTTAAAAATAGTATAAATAATTTAAGCATCTCAACATACCTTTATTTTGTAAATATTTTCATAAGTGTTGATGCAACATTTTCGGATGGCTTTGGGAGAATGGTGAATGACATTGAATCTAAAATGGCAAATTGCTATATGAGGAAAGTTGTAGTCAACAACCAGCCCCACTTGGTTCTTCATGCAAAGAGAGATATCAACAAACACGAAGAGCTACGATATGACTATGGCTTGAAGGATCTTCCATGGCGCCGAATAAAAGGTAGTTTAGTTGATTGCACCAGTTTAATAGCCATATATACATCCTAAATTTTCAGCGGCCAATAATAAATCCAAAGACTATAAGCATGCACAGGCAAGAATGAAAGTTCATGGCTGAATAATATAAAGAGGGTTAGGGAGGCCTTTGTGCATTGGTTCTGCTCAAAACATTAGGGAACTTAATTATTAAAATTTCCCAAATTATGCAGTAAAAGATACTTTACTAAGATTACTAAGAAAGTAGTAATTAAAGCACTGTTTAAGGCGATACCAAAAAACTATTAGTCATTTTAATGCACCTCACTGGTGGATTTAATTTGAAATTCCACAATATGCAATATATACAATAATTTCCATACTAGCAGTTCTTCTTACAGTTGAATAACCAGGTCTTAGCTACTGGTTCATCAAGGTTAGGGCTTTTGTCTTTCGACAAACACTAAAATTAGGTTTCATTTCAAAAAAAGGCTATTGCTATATAAATCTAGATTACATAAATCTATATAAATCTAGAGAGACATTTTCACACAAAAAGGTTCATTTTGCAGTAACATTATAAAGAAATGGACGGTTTTTACCTTTGTAGCTTCGTCTTTCTAGCGTACTAGACTTGTATCTGCGCCTTGCATACGCCATCTGATGCAAACAGAACTGTACAATGTGACCCAGACACGCTAAAACTAAAACATGTGCCTTCTGCGCGCGAGCCTTCCTGTTACTAATTATTCAGATTGTTACGTTTTTCCGGTGTTTGAAACATTAAATATTTTATGCTGCGCTTAAGGTGGTACTACGCAATTTAAAACATTTATTCCGCATAATATTTATCGATTCATTGAATATACACGGCTAAAAACTCATCAGGTTGTTGCATCAGGAGTGAACAATGTTGTGCTGCCCACATTGTTCAGAGTTGTTATCAACATTGAACAATATTGTTGGAACTGAATCGGGTGTAACAATATTGTTCGATGTTGATAACAACTCTGAACAATGCGGGCAGCACAACATTGATCACTCCTGTTCATATCAATGTTGCATCAACCTGATCGTTTTTAGGCATGTAGTTAATTAACTATAATTAACCAATAAATATTATACGGAATAAATGTTTTAAAACTGTGTAGTGTTTCATCTCAGTTTAAGTATATCATGTATATATTGTGTAAACATAGACAATCCAGAAGACAATCAGAAGACAATCTTCTGGATTGTCTATGGTGTAATTCCCTAGCATAGAATTTTGCCGAATTTTAAAATTATGCAGGGCGGGCAGCAGGGCATTTCTGAAACCACATTATGCTTATGTTCTTGACACTTCTTGTGTAGAGAGTGTAGTAGTTTTTCCTTAGAAAAATCATGATTTGTAATCATAATGATTTTGGTATCGTCCGTACGTGACTCATAGTCATCACCCGTTAACTGTATAGAACATTTTTGCTTTAGAACTCTGCAAAGGAAAGCCGCGAAATTATTTTGGAAAATTGAAAAAAGAGCTGGATGAAAGTAAGAATGCATGTCTTTCTGTCATTATTATAATTATGACTGGGTGCGTATATATATAGGAAAGGATTGGGCAAAAAGCACGCATTTTTGCCCAGGTACAAATTTTGCGCTTGCAAATAGCAAAAACTTTAACATCTCCCTCCCTGGAAGAAGTAACCAGCCGTCGGTGACACACGTGGAATTAAATCAAACCTCATAAACTTCTTGACTGCTGCATGGGTAAATTTTCAACCGGATCTTCGAGAACCCTTACTTTGGAAAATAATTAGGATTATCCCTCCTTTATATTCCAGGAGTTAGCTGGAAGGTTGCATAATTATTTGCTAAGCCTCAGTAAATTTAAAAAGTCTAGTATACGACGTGCAACTAGGTTACCTGTAATGTAGGGATTACTGCGAGCGTTTTGAGGCCGAGTGAAACTAAACTTGTTTAACTGATAGCAATAGCAGGTTTTCAAACACGTACATGTTTTCTCGGCTGGGGATGTACATAAAAGCGCCCTGACATGAATTTACATGTATAAAGCGAAAATACTGTTCGACTGGCCATTCATGATTGATACTCAAAGAAAATAACAATAATAGTAATATTAGACAAATTTTTGTGCGCGTAGCGACATTTCCACTGGGACAAAACACTTGTAAACGTTTCATTTTCCGCGCGGAAAATATCGTTCGGACGTCTGTTTTATAACAGGCGAGATTTTGCACGCGGAACTGAATTTTTTATTATCTGCAGGTTTCATGCAGAACTAAAGCGAGTTTCGCAAATTTTTCGCGATTTTCCCTATTTCTCGCTCGCCAGCGTCTCGATTATTTTTTGTTTTGTTTTTTGCACGTTGACATTCTATCACATCAACCCGGCCCATTGAACATAGTCACGTGTCTGCACGCTCACATTTAACTAATAATATTAATTTATCCCAAAAATATTCGACACACTCCCCTATATACATTCTGTAAGAGATGTATATATATTTCTCATGCAATGCCTTTTAATCGAAAGTTTGTTCTTAATCAGGTGATTCTTCATCTGCTTCTGCCACTTGTTTCGTTCGTAGCTTTGCGGCCACTGCTGCATCACGTTTGGGACGTGGGTTGAATTCCGCTACTTCCGGATTAAGGGTTTTGGCTTTCTTTGGTGTGTCACAACTTAACTCCATTGGGAACAAATGTTGTACCCCTCTCCAAACTTCCGTTTTTGGTTTTTACGCGCTGCCCGAATGACATTGTCTCTCCCAGGGAAAGTCTCTTCTACGATCGCCACCGGCCACGAACCCCTGTTTTTATTATCAGATTGTATTATGACGACATCACCTGGTTGCGGCTGAAACTTCTTGGTTTTGTGGGTCATGTTATGACGTTCACGCAATGCAACTAGATATTCTTTTCTCCAACGCCGCCATAGTTTATTTTTAGACTCGATAAGGTACTTCGCTCTCTTTCTAATTTCTTGTTGTTCGATTCGCCTCGGGTCCTCTTCAGGAAGTTGACTGGTACGCTGATGTAGGAATGCGGACGGTGTAAGGACCGGCATCTCGATGTCGTCTTCAACATACCTCAGCGGACGCCAGTTGACTTGGATTTCAACATCAAGTAACACTTCACTAAGTTCCTCGAAGGTAAGATACCATCCCCCAATCACCTTGTACATCGCCACCTTAACCACCCCGATAAGGCGTTCAAATTGACCCCCCCACCAGGCTGCACGGCTCAAGTTAAATTTCCAATTTGTTTCGAACCCAGCTACTAAGCCACGTAACCGCTCATCCTTTCGTAACTTCTCCAGCCACTTTTGAGCCTTGATAAAGGTCCCCCCATTATCAGAATAAACCACCCGAGGTCGTCCTCTTCGGCAATAAACCGTTTGAAACACGTGATGAAGGAGCCCGTCTCCAGATTTCGTAGAAGCTCCACGTGGATAGCTCTTGATAAGCTGCAGGTAAGTATGGCCAGGTATGCTTTTCCTTCAGACTTGTTTGACTTCCGATATTTTATTGGCCCAGCAAAATCAACACCGACTACTTCGAAGGCTGTTCCTTCCTACTTCGTAGTGGTTCTGTTTTGCGGCAAGGGTCCGGGATTTGGTGGGGTGTAGGCTTTCGCACGAAACCACCCCCAACATCTGCTGCGAATCATCTTCACCAAACTACGAAGTTTGGGAATCCAGGATTTTTCGCAAAGCGTTTGTAAGATCGATTCCGCCGTGGAGAGTCTCGCAATGGATACGTTGCAACAATCGGGCGACTTGTATTCGTCCTCCGCACACCGTTATTCCGCGCTCATCTGACCTGAAACCAAGCCGTGCGCTAGTTTTTTTGAGGTGTGTCTCTCTCTCGTCACGTTGCTGGATGCGTTTGATCCACCAGTTCTTCACCGCGTCTACCTCGTCGGACTCAAGCATCGCCGGCCGACCACTCTGGACCAGTCCACCACACTGTTGAAGAATTTACTGAGCCACCCCTAATGGCAAGATCTGCGGGGTTTTCTGCCGTCGGTACAAATCTCCAACTGATTTCGGGATGCTCATGGATCTTGACCACGCGATTGGTGACAAATTGCTTATACAGTATGTTCCCCGTTACCGCAAATCATAGACAATCAAAAGGATTGTCACTGACATTAGCGCTTTGCACAGGCGTTTCCAGTCCATCCTATTTGATTGTCTATGCGCAAATCCAATGCAACGCGACCGTGCTATCACGCATACATCATTGGTGCTGGTTCTTTCGGCAGGGCAGAGCGAACGTTCACAAGGAGGTTCTTTACCATGTGAACTGCCACAAGTTCGAAGCGCGGGATGGACAAGTTTCTTTTGCAAGGCGGCTCTTTGCTGCCACCAGGTGTTGAGATGTCCCGAGGACTGTTTAATCACCGCGTACACCGTCGCTCCAACTCCTTGATGACGCATCTCCAAAGAATGCAACTTGATTTCTTCGATCTCTTCCTATTGATTCACGACAAATCTTACAGTTTCGACTTCCGAAGGCAAAAGATCGTTCCCATGCCTTCCATCTTGTCAACTGCGCCGGGCCAAGATCAACATCCCACGGTACTTTCGCGTCACATACATCTCTAAATATCAGCTTCCTCTCCAAGGTTAGAGGAGAAACCAGTCCGGGCCAGAGGGTCGTAAATCTTGGAAAGCATACTCAGGATACCTCTCTTCTCGGCAGGTACGTCATCACGTGGAAATGAAATCTTAAGTGTGTCACTTTGTTTATTCCACTTAAGACCAAGGAACTTTGACTCGCACAGTCCGACATTTAGCTGCGTCTTCGCGTACGATTGTTTCTCTGAATACTCTAGCGATTTTTGATCTTCACTAACTTCGAGTCGATGTATATTCGAGCTCCACTTATGCAGCACGAACATCTTCCAAAATCACCTGAGCTGCTTGTCTCCGCTTGCTTCGTTGTCAGCCCACTGCTTAAGAGGTCGTCTACATACATACTCCGTCGCAAGTGGTCCACCTCTTCGGGTAACCGCTCTGACCACTTGTCAAGATTGGTCTCGATCACCGCTTGCAGAAGGTATGTTGAGGGTGCTAGTCCAAATAAAACTCGGGTGAATCGCAGAGTTTCTAAGTGGTCGTTTTAATGTTAACGCCAATGAAACCTTAACGCGTCTCGATCAGCAGCTTTTATATGAATCTGTAGAAAGGCCTGTCGGATATCACTTGAAACCATGACTGGAAATGTTCTTTGCTGCACAAGCACATCCCAGAGTTTGTTTTGAAGTGGCGTGCCGGGGTTCAGACATTCGTTAAGAGAGGGTGATGTTGGATCGGCTTTCGCTGATGCGTAATTTTGTGGTCTCTTAGGTCTCCTTCACCACGCCCTTGTGTGGGATGTAAAACTCACGTCCGGTCACCTTCTTAGGGGCTTTCTCTACGATTCCTTCATGTAGTTATGTCCGTATAACTGCATCATATTCGTCGATGTTACCTTCTCGTTCCAACTTCATCGTCAAGCTGCTCAGACGACCTAAACTGCCAATCCTACGTTACGGCTGAAGTGGAACGCGCGGCCTTAAACATCGAAGCCAGCTTATTGCTCTCGGCTTCCACGCAACACTTCCCAGCAATGTTCTTTCACATTGCAAAATTAACAAACAACTGGCAATACCAAAATTACATGGAAAGCAACTTTTCCGCCC